TGTGAATATTCATATTGACATGTTAACATTAACATTGATAGGAGTGTAAAATTTGCCCGCTGCCCGAAGCTTGCCCGCGGCCCGGGGTAGGACCGGTCCGGCCCGTTGACAATGTGAATATTCACATTGACATGTTAACATTCACATTGATAGGAGTGTAAAATTGGCCCGTAGCCCGTGGGCGGCCCGAAACCCGATCGCAGCCCGAGGCGGGCTTGACCCGACCCGTGACAATGTGAATATTCACATTGACATGTTAACATTAACATTAACATTGATAGGAGTGTAAAACTTGTTCGTTGCCCGAAGCTCGCCCGTGGCTCGGGGTAGGCCTAAACCCAAACCCGGGCCACCCCGGGCCATCCATGGGACTCGAGTCAATTTTACACTTTTATCAATGTGAATGTTAACATGTCAATGTGAATATTCACATTGTCAACGAGCCGGGCCAGGCTCGCCCTGGGCAGCGGGCGGGCTTCGGGCTGCCTACAGGCCACGAGCCAATTTTACACTCCTATCAATGTGAATGTTAATATGTCAATGTGAATATTCACATTGTCAACGGGCCGGACCAGGCTCACCCCGGGCCGCCTATGGGACGCGAGTGAATTTTACACTCTTATCAATGTGAATGTTAATATGTCAATGTGAATATTCACATTGTCAACAGGTCGGGCCGGGCCTGCCCCGGGTCGCCCACGGGTCGTGGGCTAGTTTCGGGCAGCCACGGGGCGCGGGCTAATTTTATACTCTTATCAATGTGAATGTTAACATGTCAATGTGAATATTTGCATTATCAACGGGTCGGGCCGGGCCCGCACAGGGCAGCCCACGAGCCGCAGGCGGGTTTCGGGCCGACCACAGGACGCAGGCTAATTTTACACTCCTATCAATGTGAATGTTAACATGTCAATGTGAATATTCACATTGTCAACGGGCCGGGTCGGGCCCGCCCCAACCCGGGCCCGGGCTGCCCACGGGTCATGGGCCAATTTTACACTCTTGTCAATGTTAATGTTAATGTTAATATGTCAATGTGAATATTCATATTGTGAACGAGCCGGCCCGGACCCGCCCCGGGCGACGGGCTAGTTTTGGGCCACCCACGGGCCGCAGACCAATTTTACACTCCTATCAATGTGATGTTAACTTGTTAATGTGAATATTCATATTATCAACGGGCTAGGTCGGGCCTATTTTTTTGGCTTGTAGGCCAGCCCGGCCCGGCTCGAATTTTTCCCGGCACCCACGAGGATCGACATGAGCCGGGCCCCTATACATTGACGATATAAACATTTATATTGACGGTGTGAACATTCACATTAAGGGTATTTTAGTAATTATGTCGCCCATAGGATTTATTGAAACATAAGAAAATAATGTGAACTAAATAGAACATAAGTAGATGAAAATGGTATTTTGGTCTTCTTATCGCAAATTGGACCTAATGGAATAGTAAAAAAGAATATGGGTGGGATGGAATAAAACTCTTAGAAAATGAATTTATCAAAAAAGCTCCCATTTAAAAATTACTAAATATCACTTCTTAAACAAATCCTTACTCTTCAAAATGAAAAGCAACAATGGACCCCGAACGTTTCAAAAGACATGGATTAAGTCAAATAATAAGATTTAAATGAATGAAATCATGAGAAAATGCAATTAAAGGCACTTAATTGTGGACACCTTTGTTATCACAAGAAAATAATGTTAACTAAATGGAACATAAGTAGATGAAAATGGTATTTTGGTCTTCTTATCGCAAATTGGAACTAATGGAATAGTCAAAAAGAATATGGGTTAGATGGAATAAAACTCTTAAAAAATGAATTTATCAAAAAAGCTCCCATTTAAAAATTACTAAATATCACTTCTTAAACAAATCCTTACTCTTCAAAATGAAAAGCAACAATGGACCCCGAACGTTTCAAAAGACATGGATTAAGTCAAATAATAAGATTTAAATGAATGAAATCATGAGAAAATGCAATTAAAGGCACTTAATTGTGGACACCTTTGTTATCACAAAAGTAAACAACTCTTCCATGAAGTCTTGATTGTCACTCAATTGCACTCCTTTTTTTTTTTTGGGAATTAGTCAGGTCGTGTTTTCTGTTGTCACACATAATCAAACATAATGAGTGTTTGGAATTGATTTTTTTATTAGCTATTTTTGCTTTCGTTTGACGTAAGTTAAAATGGAGGTTTTTGGTTAAAAAAGTCACAAAAAGATAAAATAGACTTTTTAGTCTAATAAGACACATATCACATTTAAATCACAATCATTTCATTTTTTCTTTAACAAAAGTAAAAAAAGTCAAAAAGTCTATTCTAAACGAGACTTTTTAATCCCAAACTAAAATAATCAAAAAGTCAAAAAACCAATCTACTTCCCAAACGAACCCAGATATTTTTTTTGTCCAAATTTTTTTAAAAAGTTACTTTTTAGATTACTCAACCAGACGAATTCAGAGAATTATAAAAAAATAAAAATAAATAAAAAATCACTAAAAAAAAGATTAAAAATAGTTCGATTTTTTTTTTGGCAATTTTTTTTTGAATTTTGAATTTTTAAATTTTTATACATTAGGCAGATTACAATATAAAAAATTTTGAAACATATTTTAAAAAAAAAAATCACTAAAAAAAAAAAGTTAATTCTTTTAGAAGAATTTACAAATCAGTAATACTATCCTAAAATAATTACAGATTAATAAAAAAAATTATAACTTCAGATTAAAAAAAGATTAAAAATAGTTCGATTTTTTCTTTGGCAAATTTTTTTTGAATTTTGAATTTTTAAATTTTTATACATTAGACAGATTACAATATAAAAATTTTTGAAACATATTTAAAAAAAAAAAGTGATTTTTATAAGTGAATACCAGGAGACCTTAATTCTCAGTATGTCAAGCATGTAATTAATTAAGAAAATGAAGCAAAAGAATAAAGAAAAATGTTTGTACTTAAAAAAAATGTAGCAATTAGACAGCTAATTTTGGATGGACAATTGCCAAGATAACATAGAAGTTATATACACTAATGCTTTGAGTAATAAAAATATTTCATAAGAATTACAATTCTTTTATGTATATAACTCTTTTTACATGGAGCAGAGCCAGAGTGACGTTGAGCCTAGTTTAATGAAAATGATATCCACTAATTAAGGTTAATTTTAGTCTTAAAAGTATAATCCCAAAATTTTTATCAAATATATCACATAAATATGAGATTCATACAAGACATTTGATAAAGATTAATGACGCCAAAAATTATCATTTTTGCTAATGATAACACTAGCATTAGTGGGAAATACCAGCTGGACAAATGATCGATAAACGTGATTAATATGGTTGCGCTATCCTCTGCCACGTGGTGATTATGGCGCCTCAACTTTTTGCTTTAAGTTTCTTTATTCTTCTTCTACTTCCCCTTGAATTTTTTTTTTTTTTTTTAAAGGGAGGGGATCATCATTCACCCTTTTTTTTAATGTCAAAATCTTTACATAAAAAAAAAAAGAAAAAGAAAGAAGAAGCATTTAGAATTAGTTTTTTTTTTTAAACTTTTAAAATTGTTTTTTTAAATAAAATAAAATTGCTAATTAAAAATAATAATAAGAAATTGTTCAGAAATTAGGTTGACTTTTTGAGTTTGGGGCTACAAAGCCTCATTTGAAAAGAGTTTTTTTGGTTTTTTTGATTTTTTGTGAGAGAAAGAATGTAATGATTATGAGTTGAATGTAATGTTTTATTTTATTTGACTAAAAATCCCATTTTATCTTTTTATAACTAAAATAACCTGAAACCCAATCTAACCCAACTCTTCTTTCCAAACGAAGCCAAAGCCAAAAAATGTTTATGCACTTAGGATGGACAGCGCAGATTGCTTGTTGTGGCCTATTTCATTAATTTGAATTGTTTAATTTTTAGTGTCTTTTTTAAATATAAATGTAATTTAAATATGTGACTATTGATATTACATCAATTTAATGAACTATTTGAAACACACTAAGAGCATCTTCACCTAAATTTTCAAAATTTAGTGTGTCAAATTTTTTTAAAGTCTTAGGTAGCAATTTGACATAGAAACTCTCTACCCGATATGTCAAATTTATTATTCTATTATTTTTAAAAAATAAAATTATTTTATCGGGTGAACTCAACATTTGACATCAATATGAAGCATGTCAAATTGGATATGTTGAATTCATGTCAAATGTTAACTCAGTATTTGACATATTGGATGGAGTCATATCTGATGTCAAAATATAACTGTTAGAATGTCACATTAGATTTAAAGTATAGAAAGGAGGTATTCAAAAAAGAGAAAAGATAGGGATCATGAAAAAACTTTCATGAAACTGGTCATGAAAAATTTATGACTCTTGGATTATCTTGATTAGTGTGTAGTGCTTTATTTTAAGTGTAATCCAAAGGTCATAAATTTTTCATGATCATTTTTATGAAATTTTTTTCATGATACCTAGCATTGCTCTTCAAAAAAATAACAGAATCATATCAATAAAATGAACCCAAATGGGCTAAAAATGACCATAAGCTTCATTCATTAAACAAACTATTAAAGGGATATTTATTTATTTATTTTGGGTTTGGGTTTTGGTTTTGGGATATTAGTATTTTAAATATTAACCATTACATAATAGAATTTTGGCATTTCAATACTATTATTCAATGTTATATCAGTTAATACTATCAGTTACTCTCAAATATTAATCGATATATGACTGTGTAACTGATATCGATATATATTTTAATATCGTTATTTTAAATCATTAATCTTAAAGTGCAACCCTAACAAACCAAGAGAGCAAAAGAGCTACACTTACTTGGCACCCGGCTTGGCCACGTTTTTAAAGATTCGATTGGCACAGCTTCTAGCCTCCCACTCATTACTAATCTCAGACTCAGCTTTCCCAAACTCATCAACAGTTTTAGATATGCTTGACAGCCCAGAACACCTCACAAAGTTCACCAGCCTCTTCACACTCCAAGCTGAAGCCCTAGTCTCCAAGCTCAGCTTCCTCAGCTTCTCCTTATCAATCCTTCTCCTTGACCCAAAGCTCTTTGTCCTCCACTCCTTCCCCCCTCTCTCCTTCCATTTCCTCGGCAATGACTTCGACTTCAACAAACCACGGCGGCACATGTCCTCCTCATGCACCGCCTCTTCCTCTTCCATTGGAGGACCAGAGAGCGTCTCGAGAATGAAGTGGTGGAACACACTTTCTTTCATCCGATCAAAATAGGTCTCTACGTGAAATGACGAAGCTAGTACCTATTATTGAGAATATAAATAATAAAATTATTTATCTCTCTAATTATTTATGAAAAATCAAATTTAAGGACGGTTTGATTTTATTTTTATTTTCATTTTCCAGAAGAAAAAAAATTGACAAGATAATTTTTATTTTAAAAAAGTCTAAAAATAACCCACTTTTTAAATACTATAAAAGTTATTTTTTAAAATTATTTTCATACAAGAATGAAAACAATGTGCATATTATAAGTATTTTCAAACTTTTTATGCTTTTATTTTTCAAAACACAAGATAAAAAACAAAGAAAACAAAACATAACAAGTCCTAAATTTTGATGTGGGTTCAAATTCTAAAATTAAAAACTATGGATAATAAAAAGAAAAAAAAATTACATTCTAGTTCAATTGACACCCATATAGTTTACTCATTCTGAATAAGTTAATGGTTAACAATTAAACAACTGTACCTTGACGAGAACTATCTTGATGAGCCAAATGGTTGCACCGATCAACACAGCTACAAGAGCTTGGAAGATCTTCTTAAGCATGGTGTTGTTCTTATGGACATGTGGGTTGAACATGAATGTCCAAGCAAGTAGAACTAGGGCAAGCCAGACACAGTTTTGGAAACTCTTTCGGAGTCCATAGACGAAGTACAAGACCTTCTCGCGGAGCATGAAGTTCCTTTCGATGAGAACAACAAGAAAGGCCACCACCCAGCCTGAGACAAGGCGGCCGCTAAAAACCACCATCACCATCACACACCATTTCCAGACCTCCAATCCCCATTTGACCTTTCTTTTGAGAGAATCAATAGTAATAGAACAAATCAAACAAGTTAATATAATGAAAAACAATACCCATTCGGTTAAAGCTCTCCAAGTGAGCTTTTTTCGCTTCCTTTTTCTTTCCTTTTCTTGAAACACCATTTCTCTCTCATCATCTTCATCTTCATCTTCATCTTCGTCTTCATCATCAGTTGAAGATGGGTAGTTTTGATTGGAAATGAAATGATCGACTTGTTCCGATTCGAGGATGGGTTTGGAAGAGAGAGGTGGGTATTTTTGGTCGGTGAGGCGGGATTTGGGTTTTGAGAAGCTGAGACGACGAAGAGTGCTTGTTTTTGTCGGGAGGTTTTTGAGGTCGTGAATCTGATGATCTTGTTCTTCTCTCGAATTTGAATTTGGAGGCTCTGTTGCTGTTTTTGAAGATTGGGGTGGTGGTGGTTTGAGATCTTGCTGATCCATCAAAAGAATCACTTGATCATTTGTTGTGTTTTCCATGATCTCTTCTTGGTTCTGCATCTCACTCACGCTTGAATTTATAATCTGATTAGTAAAAAATTAAGGGCACTTACTAATCAGTAAGTCAGCCCCATCAGCTAAATTTAGAGAGACTAAGGTCAAGTTTGGCAATTTAAAAATAATTCATTTTTTTATCTTTTTTACATTACATCACATCTCTACTTTTCTGCACATCTTTTCGTAAAAAGACAAAAAGTACACTTATTTAGGTCATCCCAAATAACTCTTAATAAATTAATAAGACTTAAAAGTAAGGCTTATTAATAATTCACCCTAAAAATTGTAAGTATTCTATCTAAAAAGTGTATTTAACTTGTTTAAAATTATCAAAGATTTTACAGATCAAATAAAAATTTATTATAAAAAATATTAGAATGGCGATTTTCATTATCATCATTTGAATTGCTATGAAAAGCTAGTTTTGAAAAGTCAAAAATATGACTTTTGTGACGAATATATTTGAAAATATTGCGTCTTAATATTATTTTAAGAACAAAATAATTTCTTATTTTTCAAAAATTTTGATCCCAAAATATAGTAATTCATTACTAAATATGAATTACTCCATGGAAGGCTCTGCTGAAGAAAATGAAGGTTCTCGCTCTCTTCATTTTTCCTTTTTAAGAAGCTCTAATATTCACCCAAAAAAACAATACAACTTCTTGGTTTCAGGAAAATGAAGGCAGCAAGGTTCGGAGGAAGATGGCTGGACATTTGGCCGGTCAATCGGTCAACTGAAAAAAAAAATTAATGTTTGTTATTTGAAGGGTCTGGACAATCCCATGGCACTTCCCCCCGTCCCCTCTTTCTCTCTTGCTAACTAAAACGGTGGTTATAGTTAACACATAATACTAACAAATGACACTAACACATTACTTAGCTACTACATTTAATACCTAACTATTACCAAAAATCCAACTATATAAATCCCATTTCATAAAATACTGTTCATTACTCACTTGAGAGAGAGAGAGAGAGAGAGAGCGCGATATCCGACAGAGATTTCTGGCGATAGTGATTTTCAGTAGAGGCAAACCAGAGTTCTCTCTCTCTGCTATCTCTTCTCTCTCTTTTTGTGATCTCTTTCACTACAAGAATTTTTACTTTTGGCGACTAAATTTTTAGTTGCCAAAAGTCATCTTTTAGTCGCCTATAGTCTTTAGCGACTAAATTTTTTGGTCAGAAAATTAGTAGCGAAAGAGTAGTCAGGAAATCTAATTGCCGACTAAAGCTAAGTTAGTCGCCAAATACATACCTTTGCTGACTAAATATTTAGTCACCAATAGGTTGAAAAATTAATTAAATAATACATTTTTGCCGACCAATTTTTTGTCGCCAAAAGCCAATTATTTAGTCGTCGAAAAATTTTTAGCTACTAAATTTTTTAGTCGCCTAAAGCAAATACTAGTGTTTTGGCTACTAAAATTTTAGTCGCCTAAAGTCAATCTTTTTTAGCTACTAAAATTTTAGTCGCCAAATACTATTTCTTTTGGCTACTAAAAATTTAGTCGCCTAAACATCTACATTTTTGGCTACTAAAAATTTAGTCGCCTAAACTCAGACATTTTTTGCTACTAAATTTTTAGTCACCAAAAGTATTTTTATTCTTCAATTTTTGTTTTTAGCTACAAAATATTTTAGTCGCTAAATGTTTGCTTTTCTTTTGGCTACAAAACTTTTAGTAGCCAAAGATTTGATTTTCTTTTGGCTACAAAACATTTAATAACCAAATGGTTGTTTTTCTTTTGCCTACAAAAAATTTAGTAGCCAAATGTTTGATTTTCTTTTGGCTACAAAACTTTTAGTAGCCAAATGTTTTTTTTTTTCCCCCCTTTTTATTAGCTACAAAACGTTTAGTCGGTAAAAACATGATATTATGTTTTATTACAAATATTATAATGTGTTCATAACCGGTCTGTATTCCATGCAACCTGTAATACGTATATGAGAGGGTAATTTATAAGTAAATTGGGCCGAGCTGGGTAAATGGGCCGATCTGTGGGTCATTGTAAGAGAGGTCGAGTAAAAGGGCCTAGAAGGTAGCTTGGTCCAAAAGAACTTTGCAGTTAGCCCGGTCTCAGAGAGCTCTACAGTTAGCTCGGTCACCATACTCAGAGCAGTAACAGTTAGCTCGATCATACCCATCTGAACCAAGGTATGCTGAGCTTTTCTCAGGACCTTGCTACGGGTTAGCTCGGTCCAGGCTCAGTATGGTTTGCACGGTCTCTGCCAGAGAAGCTGATATACGTACAGTGGAGGGGAGGACCGAGCTAAGTAAAGCTCGGTCATTTCAGCCAGTTTAGCATGGCTGATATAGCTCGGTCGTTTTGTCATACCGCCGAGATAAAACCATCTCACTTGGTTTAAGCAGTGAGGAGGGTGTTGAAGGATAAGCATTATCTTTCAGGAATGTGATGAAGAACAATTGAAGTATTTCATAAAAATGAACACTTACAATGGTCCGAACTCAGCCTCGGAGAGGTTTACAACAGCAATCTACTTGAATCTACTTGAAGCTACTCCTATGAATCGAAGTGCAGTGCGAGCATTTAAAGTGCAGGTATTTAAAGAACAGGTATTTAAAGACTGGAAATGTAAATGACTGGAAAGAAAATATATGAAGTAAATGACTGGTTTGTATGATCTGAGTCCCTTTCTCTTTCTGGGAGCTGCCTCGTTATTTATACTCGTCAGTGATGACCTTCGAACTGCACTTCGAACTGTCGAACTTCTCCTCCATGATCGCTGGTCATGCTCCCTTACAAGTAGCTCCATTACGCCATTACTGGCAGTTGAGCTTCCCTCTTGTACTTAGATTTGAATATGAGTAACCGTTTGAAGACACGTCATCTTGCATCCCGTTATTTGATCTAGTGTTACTCGGATCATGTGAGGACCAATATTTATTGCCACGTGTACGATCAGGATTAAAGGCTTGAATAACCTTCCTTTATTACCCTTACTATGCCACGTGTCGAACTGTAACTGGCTTTTACAAAATATGTAGCCAACAAAGGGTGAAACACCAATAAATCTCAAAATGTGATCTTTTGAACTGTTTAGTCTTCTCTTTTTCCTTATGAATCCAAAGATCCCACTAAAATAGAAAAATCTCAGTTATATGTTTGGGTTTAATTTTTCAGAGATAAAAGAAAATTTTTTCAAATGTAAAATTATACATTTGGGCAATCTGCACTATAGAAGTTTTGAATTTTTTCTCATTTTGGAACAAATCCCACATTACGAACAAAAACATAACACTCCAATGTGACATCTTAAAAAATTTCTTAGTGTACTTTTTTCAAACGTAATAACATAATACTATAAAAAAACTCCTTAGTGTACTTTTTTCCAAACGTAGCACTTCAATCAATGTACGTAATTTCAAATGTATAACACACAAAAAATTAAAAAAATTATTTAGTGTATTTTTCCCAAATGTAAGAACGTAAAATTTCAAAAAAAATTTCTTATTATACCTTTTTTAAACGTAACGCCCAAAAAATTTTCTTAGTGTACTTTTTCCAAATGTAACACTCCAATCAATGTAATTCGAATTGTAGCACTCCAATGTAACATACACAAAAATACTAAAAAAAACTCCTTAGTGTACTTTTCTCAGACGTAATAACCTAACACTCCAAAAAAATACTTTAGTGTACTTTTTTCAAACGTAACACTTACAGCGATTCTGGTTTAGACCCGATCAGTTGATGTTTTGGATTCGGGTTTCATTGTCTCAAATAGTTGTTCTTGTCTGGTTTCACTTTTTCCTAATTGAGTTTGGTTGTTGGAGTGTTTTGGTTATGTTTGGAACAAGTTGGTTGTTGGTCCAAATTGTTATTGCCCAGATTTTTGTTTTTTTGCTCGAGCGTCACTTCTTGCGCTCGAGCAGTAAGTGTAAACTCTTAGTACTTTTGTAGGCCTGTAGCTATATCTTGAGTTGGTATTCTTTGCTCGAGCGACACTTCTTGCTCTCTAGCGGTGTTGGCTCGAGCAGCTATTTGTTAAGCTCAAGCGATGGTCTTCTGTCTGCAAAACTTTTGGGAGTTTGTATTCTTCGGTCGAGCGTTAATTACTGTGCTCGAGCGGTCCCATGTTTTGTGTCTGGACGCTCGAGCGACACTTCTTGAGCTCGAGTGATATATGCGTATATCAGTTCGTAGAGGGCCATTTTTGAGTCACTTTCTCATGTCTCTATCTCTCTAACAATCTACTTATCTCCACAAATACACCTAGATCCATTGAGTTCTTCACTCGTGTCACTTTGTTAAAAAGGTAGAGCATGTCGTGGGCTTCCTTTTGATCCGAACGAAGTTGTGTTTGAGCGTTGCTGAAGTTCCTTCACTCTTTCTCTCATCTTCTAAGCTTGAGGTAGGAATTCTTCATACATTCTATGAGTTTTAGCTTAGTTATTTGCAATTTCTAAAAAATATTGTGATATTGGGGATTTTTTAAACAAACCTAGGGTTTTGGGTTAAAGATCAAAAGTGGGGTTTTTACAATGGATCCTTGGAAAAGTTTGTGATGTTGGAAACAAAGTTGAGTTGTGATGAAATGATTGATCATGATACTTGGGATTGATTTTGGAAGAAAATGAGATTTTGCCCTAAATGCCTCTAATGTGGATTTTATGCAAATTAAGGAATTGGTATTGGGAATATAAAATTGGATTGGTTTTGATGAGGATGGTGGAATTAGATATGTATTATCACTCACATCTTGAAAATTTGAAAAGTGGATCTTTAATGAGATTTAAATATCTGTTTAGAAATATCTGTTTTGGGCTATCAATG